ATGAAAGTATTTTTCCGGATTTAAATCGCGTATATTTGTTTCTTCAAACAAACCGACGTTTCGGGCCCTGTATAGGTCCCATGTCAGTCAACCGTGACCATAGGACCAGTAAAGGGCCCGAAACGTCGGTTTGTTTGAAAAAACAAATATACGTGATTTAAATCCGGAAAAATACTTTCATTTCCTATGTTTTATTTTATTTTAACAATGCGATTCTTTTATTAAATTTAATTTACGATTGCTTAATGGAAATTAGAAATATATGAAAATTAAAACATATTTATCAGTATTACAGTTTTATGTTTGCTTGGAATTTTCATCACACATTTAACATGTTTTCCAAGGGTTGTGAATCTCCTTCGATGTGTCGATTTCATCACGATGTTTCCCCTTACCGCTGGCGAGAGTTACTGATGCCAAACATTCAACGTACTTATGTAACTTAGACATTAAAGTAATAAAAAAGGCCACCTCAGGAACTGGATCCTTGACATCTTCATTGGAAAAACTTTACCTCACTAGGTTGGTATATACTCGTAGCTACTGTAGTGTAAGCGGATTGTCTATGATTTGTCTCGAGCGCACACGTCACACGATGCAGCTTAAGGCGACTGCTCAGTTACCACGCCTTCGTGTATATTAATGTCGAATCTGAATTCTATTTACTAGGCAACAACTTTTACATTCCTCTGAATAATAGAACCATGCGGTCCAAACCGGAACCAAATTTAAGCCAGTCTCGCCCGCGTGGCCGGGATGCTCATTTAAGCTAAAACATAAAGCTAAATGAATAGAGGGTATTTTGCTATGACAGACGCACGCGGTGACAGCGCGATGAAATTCGTGGCGAATAAATGCGGCCGTAGAGAGGGCTGTCTGTGTTGTTTTTTTTAATATCAAGTGACGGGACGAATAACGTGTGCGCGTGATGGCAAGCTACACGCCTGTCCTTAACAGTTGCAATGCCAGTCAGAGCTTTAAATCGCAAAGATTCGAGAGGCACGTAAGTTGACAAGTCCCATGTGCTTATGATTTCACCAGCACCTTTACCCTTCAAAACCGGAACACAGTAATGCCAGAAATAGGTAAGGTGGCAGTACTTCCTTGGACGAACTCTTACACAAGGAGCTCTACTGCTACTAAACCAGCCAACCGCTAACCAAATAAATGCCAATACGCTAGCACTTGTAAGAGCGGATACTACACCTACACATATATTATTAAATTGTAATTATTAAATAAATAAATATTGTAATTGTCAGTTACGATCTGGTTATTTCTATTTCATTCTCTATTTATAACAAAAATTTTTATCGCGCATAATTCGAAATTAATCAATTACACTCGCCAGCAATGACATGTATACCGCATACTAAATTGAAATTCAATTTCCATATGGAAAATGTTTAGAGAGTAAAATAGAGAGGTTATTTGATTGTGATTTAGTATATACACACATAGTAATGCAAGCGCCTGTATTTATAATAATATGATAAAGCAATAATGTTTGTGGTCATGTTATAGCACTGACTATTCCTGAAACTGAACATTTCTGTGGTAACATCTAATATAACGCCGGAATTACCCATTTACGAGGTCAAGCAAATCTTGTTACTCAGTCATCTTGAGATATTCAGAGGTGAATCAATATAGACGTGTTAAGTTCTAAGTTCAATTACGAAACGGGATTCATAATTGCTATTGAACAAGTCTTCGAGACTTTTTTGAGATTTGTAAACATTTGCAAATCGTATGTTGAGTAATTTGGAATATGTTCTTTGGTAAATTAAAAATAACATAATTGTTAAATACAAACATCAACACAAAAAAAAATCCTTCAACCCGACAGGACTCGAAACTGCCACTACAGCATTCTGTCCCCACTGCTTTACCAACTAAGCTACTTGTCGAGTTACTGAGTCGACGAATTTATTCTACATGTCTGTTAAATATCCTTGCATTGACTTTTCGGTTTTCAACACCTTTTTCTTTGTATTTAATAATTATAACTAGTGGAGTGATTTCACAAAATAAAAACAAATCAATAAAAATAACACAATTAAATTAATTATTTTCGTAACTGTAGTAAGAATTGGATATAGGTTTGTATTAATATTTCGAGTTGGGTAGCCTGGAAGCCTAAGATTAATATGTATTGATCTAGTTCAGATTCCAGTCTCCTAGAGATTTTGTTCTTTAGTAAATAAAACTCATTTTTGTCACAAATATTTTGTAATTAAATTTACTTATTAACTATAACTGGTTGGCGACTAATACCATCTCGGAAAACTATAACCTACAAGTCGACTTTACATTGCCATTTGTAAAGAATTGTATAGCATAACGAACTTTATATTACCTGTGTAACCTGCAAAAAATTGGGCCGGTGCGGTGTGACGGACTATGGCCGAAACCTTCTGATTATAGGAGGCCCGTGTTTAACAGTGGGATAAATAATGGGTTGTTAATGACGATAATAATTTAAGTTTGATATCTTTAATTGAATTATCTTTAAGCAATTGTCTTTAAAAGATGCGCATAAAAATTTTAATATGAATTTGATTATCAATCGTCGCAAAACACATCTCTTTTTCGATTTACTTCAGAATATAATGGACTTTACGCTACAGAGCAAAAGGATCCTTCGGGTTGTTTCCGAGAAATATCAATGGGAAACTGTTAATGTTCAAACGGCCAATGAAGCTGGTGACTTTCAATCCGACTTTATTACCTTCAACGTGGTTGCTTTCTTTTTATTGCTGTTGCGGCATTGCCATGGCGGAGTCTTCACTTCTAGTAAAAAGCCGATAAATCAGTTTTTCACCCTCTACCGAGGACCAATAAATCAAGAGGCCTGCTAATCTCCATACTACAGATTGTAACTCTGAAAAAAGGTCGAAATTCAGCCTAACTTCTAGATGTCACGTAACTGGCCGTAAATATCAATTAAATCTTCTTTAATATGAAATAATAAAGTTGAATTCCTTGTGATATCATTCAAATATTATTCAAACTTTGTCAGATATGCGCGCCAATAGATGGCATTGTGCGTTACAAACGAATTTATAAATTAACAGTGCCAAATATGGTTGCAAGGTCACAGTTGTTTTTAAAATATTTTGACGGTTTTGCACAGTAATTTCATCAACGTTAAAATTGAGCACGACAAACAAAAAACAAAATAATAACTTTGTTACAGAAATCACTCAGCGCCTCCATATTTAAAATTTGAAAACAAATTCAATTGGGTTAGGCAAAGTAACCCTTAGGGTTACAGTGATATTTTGTATATAATATAATATTTATTAATATTTCGATAAGTAAAAACGTCTTTAATTTCTGCTCTAGAAAGTTTTATGCCCGCCTTCATATCTGCGTGTGTGTTCTCTCGCTATCGGTCTATACGCGCGCACGCGTTTTTGTGTGTATGTGTGTATTTGATGAATTTTACTGTATTTATATACATTGTGTATGTATATAAATACAGCCAATGGCAGAATATCAAGAATATCGGCAATTTTTTTTATATAATATCAATTAACGGGACAAACAGGTCGTGCGCCTGGTGGTAAGCTACAGGCTTGTCCATAACAGACGCCACTCTGAGCTTTTAATTACAAAGATCTTAAAAGCACTGCCACTGCACCCGTCCCCCTGAGACATAAGTTAACAAGTCCTATGTGCCTGTAATTTCACCAGCACCCTTTAAAACCGGAACACAGTTATGCTGATATTACTGTTTGGCGGCAGAAATAGATAAGCTGGCAGTAGTTCTCTGGACGAACTCATTCACAGGGAGCTCTACTGCTACTACTTCGTGAAAACGACCGCCAAGAATGACTATTTTATTTTTATTATGTTATGTGAATATATATATATATATATATACTACAGCTTCTGCGTGTTGCGTGACTAGCTTGTTTCTTGCAGGCACTCTTGTTTGAAATAAATATTGTAAATGATAAATGTATATTTACAAAGAGCAACCAACACCTGGAGTTATTTGCTCATTCTTCTCAGGGGAACCTGCCTCAAAAATGAGCACGTTCGAATTTATGTTAATAATTATAATAAACTAGTGGAGCAATATCACACTACATTATCATCAGACATCTCTAGTCAGTTGCCGATAGCTGTTAGGTAAAGTTACCTGGCTGAGCGAAGAAATAGATTTGTCACAGATGGCGTTACGGCAAAAAAGTAGTTAAAAAAACCAAAACAAGTCTGCAGCAAGCATATAGAAAAATCCGTAAGGCCCGCTGGTTCGTTCCGTAGCTTATTTGGCATATCGTCAGCCACGGTTTGCTGGAAGACGTTGGTTTGAATCCAGCCGGATCGAAGAAGTTTGTCTTAAGTGTGCAATCTTCGTAATAAATAATTAAAGCGCTTGTGCTATTGAAATTGGAAACAACGACGGTACCACAAACCGTCAGGCCCGAGACAATATAGAAAATTTCGTTTCTACATTGACCCGGCCGGGAATCGAACCCGGAACCTCGGAGATGGCGACACCATGAAAACCGGTGTGGGGTGTGTACTCCATCGCGGAGTCCGTAAAATAATTTGTTTATTATTTGGGAAACAACCAGTTTACAATTTGTGTATTAGATTATAGTTAAAAAAGGTATCACTTAAACCAGGGAAGTTTCCACTAATAAACATAATTTAAAAAAGAACGAAAAACTACTTGGTATTTTTTTAAACACAAAGATAATAATAAAAAAGAAACTTAAAAAGAAATAAACTAAAAAACAAATGACATAAGCTATTGTTTATAAATGGACTTTACAAATTTTGGAAAGAACAAATAAAATATATCTACATCTAAATGATTCTTATTATTAGATTAGAATTTTTTATTTCATATTATCAATGTTATAATATTACAAACAAGTTATACTTACTGTTTCAAGTGTAGTTTTGCTTACCAATGATTTTTAAGTTTGAATTACGAGACATTCTTAAACAAACAATAGGTTAAATTCGGGTTATTATCTTACCTAAGTGCGGCTTTATCGCAGGCATCGGGCGTGTCGACGGCGGGCAAGTTGTCAGTGTCAAGGTCGACCTGATCGAGCTGTTCGTCAGTGGGCGTCGAGCAACTCTCGCCCTTCGAGCGGCTCGACGAGCGCCGCACTATGGTAAGCGCGCCTTGTTCTGTTGACAAAACAATTTTTTTTAATTTTAGTTTTGAAATCTAGAACTTACACACTAAAATCTCTCCTTTAGGAAAATAATACGAGTATGTTTAGATAAAACTAGAAGAAAAACACATGCAACTGGCTGAAGAATAGATTTAATGTCTCATTCTGGCGTGCATCCACAACAACGCGTATATCACATGATCGCGTATCATATGATACGCGTCGTTGATATTGTGTCGGAGATTTGATACGCCAAAATGATACAAATGTAGGTGCGACATTACAACCTATAGGGCGAGGCCAGACGAGCGTAAACTTTAGAGTTGTGAGTCGTATTTTTTGAGTCGCTTAATTTACACTGCATTCGGTTTCTTATTAAAGTTCGGTTTGTGCCACACGATGACGCAAAATGAATTGTCTGCCGATTCACGCGCGCAATTACTACTGAAATTCGGTCGCACTGTGCGACGTGCTTGTGCACCCACACAAGCACCGAGGGGTAAGGGAAAGAAGATGAGGGATACATATTGGCATGTCGTAGTATTTTACAACTTGATCTGGATGTTCACATAAACTTTCACATATATGAAAGTACCTACACTTTAATCTTTACATACTAAGCAGATAAAAAACCTGGGTACAGGTTTTTTATTTTCTTTTAACATCAACTAATGTTTCATAAATGTATACTATTTCTAATGGATCTGTTACACTATATGACAAAACACCAGTGCGAATGCTTAAAAGCAACTCAATAAAATACCTTCGTCTGGCACCTCAACCGAATCTCAGTCGAACGTAAACCACGAGACTCAAAAAGCGCGACTCACAACTCACAAAATTAAGCTTGTCTATTTCGCCCTAAATGAACACTTCACACGCTAATACAGAATTGTGACAATACAACGGTTTACATTCCAATATCAAAGAACGTGCTATATTCATGTTGACAAAAGTACAGTTAAAATTCATGCATTGCTAAAGTTGCATACCTTTACCTGAGATATGGTTTTAATTAACGAAAAGGAAGGAACATGGAGTTGATTAAGAGCAGAAGTTCAAAGAAAATAAAAGCACATACGTATAAAAACAGCTCTAATTGTACGTCCCAGAGGAGAGCCGTTCCCAGAGTACATGAAACGTTCTATTCATATGTTAAGCTACATAGCCGGCACGAAAAACCGGCACACTAATAAAAAGGTAGCTTAATTAAACCAGCGTTTCTGTTATTCCAATTTCTAGGAAATTTCCGATTGAATTTACGTCGACGGGAGATCTGAAATTTCAGCCAGTTTCACGTCAATATTAAAGGCTTTTATAAAAGAACCTTAGATAATTATGTTGGCAAAAAAAATTGAAGAAGTGAACCAACACATGAAGGTTGTCTGGCAACTTCTCGTCAATGTCATGTGTTTTGTGCGTGATGAAAGTGATTTCATTGTTTGTACGCAGAAAAATTAATATATAATTATATAGATGCGTAAAGTTTGAAATTTATTTAATACTTTCCTCATGTTCTTTGAAAACACCACTGTGCTTTGACGCAAATGCTTAGTTCATGTTGTCTACGTATATTAGGCTTTTTCACCTGTTCTGTATCAATGCTTCAAGTATGTTTATTCCACCTCTTTATTGCTTTACGTTTTACCGCTAGATTGTATTGTATTTCGATTCTAATCACTTTCGATTTTTCCCAATTTTTTGAATGTTTCATAACGACTTCTTTGGGAGCATAGTTATGCCTCAGCGGTATCCACCAAACAATTGTGAAAAATGATCTCAGGAGTAAATTTCCTGTACATTGAAAAATCGCCACGAAGTTTTTTTACAATGTCAAGTGACGGGACAACAAGTCGTATGCCTGATGGTAACCTACACGCCTGTCCATAACAGTTGCAGTGCCACTAAGAGCTTTAAATTGCAAAGATCTGAGGGGCACCGCCACTGCGCCCGTCACTTTGAGACATAAGTTGACAAGTCCCATGTGCCTGTAATTTCACCAGCACCCTTACCCTTCAAAACCGGAACACAGTAATGTTGACATTACTGCTTCGCTGCAGAAATAGGTAAGGTGGCAGTACCATCTTGGACGAACTCTTTCACAACGAGCTATACTCCTACTAAATTTAATTTATTATAACTTTTAATTTATTATAATTTATTAAAATTTTCAATACTTTTAGTTCATAGATTACGCAATATAAAACGCAACTTCGTAGAAATTTGTCTATCTAAATTTACCTAAGCTTTATTAAAAATATTTTTTCCAATCCTGTTTGCGAGAAAATAGCTTTTTTTAAGCCTATATAAACGGAAGGACGCAGTAATATCTGCCCACGACTGTCGGCTTACGGCTCCGTCACGAGAGCTTGAATAAATTCTCCGGTTTATGCGTTATCGTCGGTCTAGCTGAGAATAATTATGACATGGTGGTTTAAACTAGACCGCACTAGGGAAACCCTGTGTCGCTGGTGTCATGGACACACACATAGATAATCACAAATTACACACAAACTGACGAGAGAAATAAATGTAGGCTGTACAAAATATTTCTCCCGGCCCGGAAATCAAACCCGAGACTTCTGCGTGGCCGTAACTGTTCGGCCACGGAGACAGTTATGGTGTAAATTATTGTTGAGATTTTCTTATTATACTAAAACTAATCGGTTAGGTATTGCTCAAATAGTGATGTTTTAACTAAAAACAAATTACGTAATAACGTTGACAGTACCTTGGGCACCCTGCTGCGGATACCCAATTTTATTCATATAATTTAATTCTAGTTTTACTTTCTAGTATTTAAGCTTTTATTGTGCCGTACCTGTGTATTCCAACTTATTATCTAATAAAAACATCAGTTAGTTGCTTTATGTGCGTTGTACTAGTAAGACTATTGCTTGGTACATATTAAGGTGATTTGGTAAAAATAGATTGATATTGTTAAATAGCTACTTGACCGAAGTTTTAGTTTTGCTTGTATACAATTATTATTCTAATATTTTTTTTACATTCGATTCGAGTAAACAAGAGTGAATCCAAAATTTATATCCTTATTCTATCGATTATTAGCGGTTATTACGCAATAACCGCTGCCAAAATGATCTAATCTACTCTCGCATTATCCTTGAGGATTAGTTTTAATAAGGTAATTAAGAAGTTATTAGGATCAAGGTGTGAGGTGGATCATTCACGGTACTTCTTTGTATCTTTTCACATAAAACAGATTTACTTTTGGATCCTAAAATTGGATTCCGGGCTTTGTCTTCAATGTTTGTATTTTTAATATAGCGAAGTATCTTTACTTGTAGTAATGTAGTAATTTATTTATTTGTACATAAAAATAAATACAGTTCAGTTACCAATAACAGGAACAGAAACATGTTACACCTTATGGAATACGTATGTTTAAGACATGTACTTTTAAACTTTATCTAAACCGGTTACACTGGCTCCTACACTAGGCAAAGCCTGTCTCGTAGGTAACCAATTCTAGAAAGGATGTAAAGTCTGTTCCAATTCATTCCGAACAAACAGCAAACAAGAGTGTTTGGTTAAAATTCTAAAGTAATCACTCAATAAATCGAACAAGCAACGTTCACGTATATTTCGAAGACCTCGACTTGATATCTCACCATTGTCTCCAACAACATTCATCCGAACAGCATCGCAAAATTGTATATGAAAAATGGTAGTCAATTAGTGTGCCATTCTTTATAGAAACAATTTCAATAATAATAATACCTGTAACTTCTTTAGCGAAAAAAAAGAAGTATGTGAATTTTTAGCTCGTTGTGACGAATTATCAAATGAATCAACTAAATCATTATTAAATTCATTAGATAAAATTATATTGATGATTTCATGTTTCCAGACGCAAGAAATTCCTTTCAAGAACTATCGTTCTCATATCAGCCGGAAGACGTCCACTGCTGAACATAGGCCTCCCCAAAGATTATCAGACTAGCCAATCGGACGCGACGGTTACCCGCCGCCCTTACTGTCCCATCTAGATTAAAAAACTAATAACTAACTAAAAACTATATTTGATTTTATTTATTAAAGATATAATAGAAATAAATCTAATTTATCCAGTTAAAAACAAACTACATCGGGAGCCGCGCCCAGGGTCATCGTGCTCAGTAAACTGACGTTTCTTTAGCGAAATAAGTACACTATTTACACCACAGGGGAAATATCTACATTCGAGTCACCGGTCTTTAAATTATACACAATTCCCATAGGTTTTCTTTCCCGAAACACGTCAATGAGAATTGAAATGTGACGTGTATTTTTAACTACGGATGCTTGTCTCCGGGGTGGGATATCCGCGGGCTGTTTTCCAGTTCTGTTGACTCGCCGTCGCCATGGCAACAAACGACAACACTGTTGAAAAAAATCTTAGGATAATGTAACGAATCAATATCATTGCGTCATCGTAACAAAACAAACAAAGAAACAAATGTGGTAATAATTATTAATGCAAAGATCGATCACTTGGAAAAAATCCTGCGATCCGACAGGATACGAACCATCAACAAGATCCGACAAGATCCCCGTCTTACGAATTTTCTGTATGTTTGTTGTAGACCTTTATTTTTGGTTTTTAATGACTTTTTTGCCGTAACGCCATCTGTGAGAAATCCATTTCTTCACTCAGCCAGGTACCTAGGAGCTGATTAGAGATGTTGTGCTAAAAGCAGCAAATATAATGTATTAAAAGGACTAGATAACATTTTTAACGAATTAATGTTTATTGCCTACCTTACAGTAATGTGAAAATAAATTATTCAAAAAGGAGTATCCAAGGTTCAGAGAGAGGTCCAACGTTCGATTCCTGGGCCGGGAGAAATATTTGTTTCGTCTTTATTTATTTTTACAGTGAGTTTGGATGTAATTTGTCGTTGTCTATGTTTTATTCATGGCACCCGCGATATAGGCTGCGTTATTATTATGTTACAATTATATAATCAAAAGAAACTGCATTTGTGACAATAAACTTAGTATAAATAACAA